AACTGGTCAGTGTCTAGAGCTGGCTCGGAATTGACTGATCTGATGTCGGCGGCAACTATTAGAAGCAACGAATCGTCGTTTGTTGATGTAGAAGAGTCCGGATCAATTCCCCTTTCCAAGGAAGACGTAGAAATGTCACTTACGACACCTGCATCAGACTCTGCAAAGGTCTGCTAACTCAACAAACTTGCGTCGGACAATGTTCAATCAGCATTAGATAATGAATTGGAGGTGATGGGCTTATAGTTGTCAATATTAATAGTTATGCAGCAGTAACTTTCGAATAAATTGTTTAGCTACCTGTTAGCTATCACTTGTATAAAATTAATTACAGAACGTTGGCTGACCCATGGTAACGTTTTACTTCTGAAAGTTGCTGTTTTACAGCGAGGATATTATTGGTATGTGATCGCATAAGAGGGTACTAGTAGGAAAGGTTTTGGATCCATGCAGAACGATTTGTCACCAAACTGGTTGACGATAAAGACGTGCCTGATGCTTATGATTAATTATTCATTCATTGCAGTGTTAATAAAATTGTACAAGACACGAGAGATATGCATAAACAAAATGTTAATTGAAACCAATTTCTCCAAAAGGCACCGAAAATGTATAGGTTGAATTTGCCTTGGGCTCGGCTTATTATTTGCTCGATAAAAAATATAACTGCTCCAGTGATTGGCAATTTTCATACTTAATGTCATCAGGTGAATTTCAATGTATTGAAAAAAAGTTGGTGATAGCCTTTTAAACGTCAGGTGGTTTTTAATACCCACTGCTGCCGCATACATCACGCGTGATATAAAAGACACTATCTTCTTGTAAAATGTAGTATGCGCGTACATCTACCAATTAAAAGCCGATTGTCCATTCCTGCCGTTCGCCACCTATGAATCCTATAGCTTTATCGTTTGCAGTGCCTTGCACAAGCTGCGCTATACATCCCTGCTGTTTACTATAAAAGTTTAAAACCAAATGCTCTTAATATCGAAAGTTATTATTATATGGCAACAAACTGAACATACTATGTGCTGCAAGAGATGGAGATATAACAATGCAAATACCTAATGGTGTATAACGTGGACAATCGTAACGTTCAGTGGTTTTGAACTTCTGTCGTGCTATTTCGTTTTGTTGCAGGGTTGCCCCATATCATCGTTGAGAAACCATCTTCTGTGTTCAACTGACTGGTTGCGATTATCCGTCCCGATTGTAGAGAAAATTTTGCACCAGCAAGGGGAAATGGCTGCGTTTTTTATTATGCAGGTTCTCTAACGAGATTGTCACTCTTACAATATTGGATAGAGCGGACTTTTGTCTAACCAAGTATGCGTTTCGTTTCGTGATCTTCACTGTTAACACGAAATGTGAAAGACAGTCATAGTCAAAGAAACATCACACTATATCCCCCAAAAGTTTCGGATATCTTCGTCAACATAACATCAGGCTTCGGCTCGCATTACCAAAACTGTTGGCAAGGATCTAACCCTCTGAAAATGTCTCTTCGTCTATTGTAACATGTTACTTTTCTTCTCGTTGGAAGGTAACACTTTTCTAGCAAATGTAATGCCAAAGTCTGTTTTAGTTACAATGTCCATGCGATCTCCAATTTACAATGTCTGAAATAAGGTCAGGTAAGATAAAATTCGTTAAATACGGTAATCTTTGTGGTACACTTCTCACAATATCCTCTTCTACACTGTAATAAGATTAGATGTAATGGATTCTCCCGATTTTCCAACATATTCAAAATACACCCCGTTCTTACCTGCTTTAATGATAATAACCTCTGTCCTCTCAATGCTAATGATATCCAGCAGAGCGATAATCGAGTGTGAAAGACAGTTGTGGCGAAGGGCTGGCTCTAAACAAGTAATACAATTCGGATTCATAAGATCGGGTTATAGAAAGTTTCTTGATTCTAACGGCTGTAAGTGAACAATGACGCAAAAGAGATTCCGTAGAAGTATCGGCACCAGGTTGCTTCTGATACCACAGCCATCAAGTAATCATTAATTCCCTCCAGATATGAAAACCAACCGAGAAAGCAGGAGTCTTCATTACGTAGTGATCCGAAAGACAAATCCAACACATCCAAACGCGCGTGTTGACCCTGAGAACACAAGTACAAGGATCACTCCACAGCCATGGCACGATTGTCCAGAACCAAACTCGACCGAGTAAAAGAAAAGAACGTAGCACTGATTGGAATGTGTTCTCTAAAGTGAGGTGCTATTTCACAGAATATTCCTTCGACATCATGCTTGGTCACATGATTGATTGAATAGAGTTACCGGTAAATTTCTCGTAACGTCATTTGATGAGATAGTTGTCAAAGAAGTAATGGAGTGGAAAATTCATTTCTGCAAGCCGCAGTCAAACTTTCTGGCGTTAAAATATTGAAATCATTTTCAATATCTATACAAGTGTTAATACTGAATTTTTTCCAATGGTGTGTAGCCCTGGATGTGTACTAAATTACTTAACGAACAAGCAATTATCAATCATATACTAACAAATGTCAACCTATCATTATAGATTAGTTCTAGACAAATAACATTATAAAACATTTACAAGTATATAAGAAGGAAGAAAAGACAATTATTCTTTTATCGATCACGGTGCTTGGTCCAAATAATCGATAATACAGGTTATTCCAATAAAGCTGGTGTACATAAATCTCGAGGCTGTGGTGGTGTAATAGGATAGTTTTGCTCATGTATTATTGAGAAATAGATACTGTGCCAGGCTGGTGCTTATTCGTGATCTTCGCGTTGTTCCTAGTCAACCATTACATGTAACACAATAAATTGATGCGAATGTCGTCTTCATAATGTCACGTACGCATAATACAATATAGTAAACTTCGTTCGCTCAGCAACGATGTTCGCATTAGTCATATATAGCATGTGTGATATCAGGATGACGATAATGCCTATAACCAATCATTTTTACACCAGTTGGAAATGTTTTAACTTTCAAGTCACGTTCCACATTATCTAACTTTTTTCCCGAATATAAACAAACCCAATAAAGATTTACGTATGACTTAAAATAAAGTTAAAGTTAGAATAATTGAATACGTTTTATACTAAGCTAATGAATAAATAAACAATACTTACAAAAACATCAGCATCATCACTGATAGTGATAGCAATTTCTATAATAATGTCATCTTCGGACAAAACGTTAACCACGCATGGTAAAATGTATTCAGCATAGTCATACCCCCTAACTTCAATGTCCGTCTCATATTGTATTTCTTCAGTTGATGTTTTTATTGTTGTCTACAAAACTAAATGTTTATACTCATTATACAATTAACTTTAAACAATACATATTTCGATACTTACCACAATTGTCATTGACTTCCAATTCAACAACAAAATGCTGAATTTGTATTTATTCGGAGGTACTTGGAATATGGGTATTGTTAACTAATATACAATCGTTTATTAATTAATAATCACAACATTGTACAAAGCGTTAGACTATTTATATTGTATTGATAATTAATCACTTACTTTATTAGTTCCAAAAAGGGACAAACAATACACATCACTATTAAATAATAAACATTAGTAACAATATTTTTATAACAATAAATAGTATTATTATAAATTACTTACTCCTCCCAGCATCTACTCTTATCTTCAATGCGACTTTCATATGCAAAATGTGCTTTCAGATGACCTATAATAATAATAAATATAAGTAATTTAGTATGGATAATAATATATAAATTTATGCAATCAAGTGTAACCCCTTACTTTTGTGCATATAGTATACTTTTTCATAGAACGCGTTTATACATGTGTGATTATATGGAGCATTGTTATACTTGTAATGCCACATTACTGCAGTGTTGTACCATCTGGTGTAATCATCTGTTCTATACTGAGAGTTATGCAGTGATTGCCATTGATTGATATTATCTAACATATACATTGCTTTAGCAGGGTAACTATCCACAAGGAGTGTAAACCATTTAACATCAAAGTGCTCAAGTTTGTTTACAAATTTATAAATTACATCAAATGCCTTTCTTTGCATATTTAAGTGTGTAATACATCCAATATCTTGTTCAGCCCCTTTCTTGTTCCCCAAACCTACATGTGCCACTAAACTTGAATACCAAGCATTATTATAAACCTTGTTTACTTCAATTGCTGTCTCAATATCAAACAGGGCTTTGCCAAAATTTTTCATATCTAATTTGATTTTTGCTTTATTACACAGTGCCACATAATTTGTGGAATCAGCTTGTAGTATTTGTGTATAGATGTTCAAAGCCTTTTCCAACTTATAATTCTTATATGCAGTTTTGGCTTTTTGGAACAATTTGTCTATATTTGGTGCTGTTAATGATTTCCAAATTGAATTCCATGTGGATCCAGAACCATACTTTCTTGTTCTGTTCTTTCCTT